CCAAAATAGTCTGGCAATAAAATGACACAATTAGGATAGGATTAGCAAGGTAGAAGCAAAATCTTTATATGTAGATGAAATGATCATCCACAGAGAAAATACTAAGAAATCTCTAGGAGCCCCTAGAACTTGTATTTGATCAATTCTTCTAATTCTGACATACTGGGGAAAAGAGGTCTGTTTGTACCTCTTATATCTCAAAATGGAAAGAGAAAAGGCAGTCCTGACTAGCTTTATCTTTTTCTATAAAGTACACATAATACTAAGTTCAGTTTTAGGAAAATAAATGTTATTGATAAGATAAATAAGGAACAAATAAGTATTGTTGGTATAATAAATCTAAGTCAGGGGAAAAGTCTTGTGATGGGGTAAAACTAACAGCCATGTTTACGACTGATTAAAATACTGGGGATTGGGCTGGGGATTTAGCTCAGTGGTTCTGCTGCCTGCCTTGCAAACGCAAGGTCCCAAGTTCTATCCCCTGTACCAAAAAACAAACAAGCAAAAAAAAAAAAACCCACAAAAAAATAAAGTACTGGAGATTAAACCTAGGGTGCTTTACCACTGAGCTACATCCCCCAGTGCTTTTTATTTTTGAGACAGAGTCTTGCTTAGTTGCTCAGGTCTGTATGGAATTTGGGATCCTCCTGCCTCAGTCTCCCAAGTAGCTAGGATTTTAGGAGTGTACTATAGCGCCCAACAACAATCACATTTACTATGTGCTTAGGCAGTATCAGACACTCTTCTAGGCTATTATTGTGCATAAATAATTTAACTTGAATAAACATAAAATATTATTATAAGATAGAGATAAGTAAACCATTTTATAGACAAGTAAGCCAAGCAATGGAACAAGACCTAAGTATTTGGCCCAAGATTAGAAAGCTAGCACATGCTGGCCGTGAACCTGAGTGGGGCAACTCGGAGGCTGTCCAACTGCTATGCCATACTCAAGACAGTAGCGGCAGGATCGCAGTAGAAAATGTCTGTGCTGAATGGAGAAGCCTCATGCGGTACGATTCTAAGAGTCACTTCTATGAATTGAAGTTCTGTATTTATAATTTAAAAATCTTCATTCAAAAATGAAGCCCACAGAGCTGCAAAGGTGTTTTAAAATTCTAACAATGAAAACCTTCTTTTGAAGAAAAATTAGTTCAGCATATTCCTCACTTTAATTTGATTCTACTTAAACCAAATTTATCTTACTGTATATAATGGGATTGTTATTATTAGAGATAGAAGATAAATTCTTTGTAATAATGATAATTTTACTTACCACTTTTCACAGAAACATCTGTGTTATTAAAGAAAAACCTGTAGTGTAGCCTTTGGCTAGTTAGAAAAAAACCAGCTTTGGGCCAGGGATTTAGCTCAGTGGCACTGAACCTGCCTTGCAAGCTGAAGGTCCTGAGTTTGATCCCCGGTACCAGAAAAAAAACAAAACAACAAAAAAAACCCCACCAGCTTTATTAATCATAAGTAAAACATGAGGTGAATTTTCTCTTCTGATTTTAGGGACTTTTCTCAAGAATTCTCCTTGATCTGATCTTCAGAGTCACTGTGAGGCCAAAGGGGGAAGTAGCAACATCCTTGTTTCAGAGTCAGGTGATGAGTGACTCAGGAGCACAGGACACCTGAGCAGAGGCCATGGGAGCAGGGCTGGGACTTTGGACCTGTGCTCTTTATCTTGTCTATCCCACTGTCCTGAGGAAAAATTATAATGTAGGGCCAGGAGCTTGTCAAGCTGACAAGAGATAATGTGAAATAGGAAGAAAAGGGGCAAAGGGGAAGGGGAAGTGAGAGGGGTAGGGGAAGGAAAGAAGGGAATGGAATATGAGAAAATGAAAAATGGAAACAAAGTCTTTGTAAATAGGGAGGGATGGAGGGATTGGGGAGAGGGCAGGGGAAGGGGGAAAAATAAGAACCAAGAGAGATTATGTAAAAGTGCAAATTTCCAATGATGAATGTCATTATACTGTGCACCTAAACTGTACCAATAAAATTTAATAAAAAACAATGACTCGCTTCAGCACATAGTGCCCCAAATATTGATTAAACAAATAAATGATGACTATCATGCTATTGTACTAAATATCTACTAGAGATTGGCCCAGACAAAATGTTAATACTTCATTAGCCAGTTAGCCTATTCATTTCAAATGGGTAAAGAACCCTGGGGTGAAAGACTGGCCAGAGTGAAGAGCTCCATACTAGAGTAGGTAACATCTGAAAAGTCAAGTCCTTTATTTCTTTTTTTTTTCCCTCCCGGTACTGGGGATTGAACTCAGGACCTTCAGCTTGCCAGGAAGGCATGGTGCCACTCAGCTACATCCTAGCCCTTCAAGTCCTTTATTTCTAAGGTGACAAACATCATTAGGTTCACTAATGCACATTATTAAATTTTACAGATCAAAGGATTTCCAAAACACTTACCTCCTCTGTCAGTTTAGTGTTGGATTTTTCTAATGTATCTACTTTTGCCTGAAGGTTATTTACTGTAGCACTATTAAGAGAAGAAAAAATCCATATAGTCTTTATTGAAAAACAGAATAATCTGTACCTTCTTTTTCAGACCTCCACCACACTTATCATTCATTGTCTAATATCCACAATTGATGATAGACTTGTATGCTTCAAGACAATTTACAAAGGTGTGTCTTGCCTTAGTTGCCGTACCTTTGGCACTGGAGTCTGTATTCAGATAAATATTTAATTTAGTTGCCTCCCCGACCCCAATGATTGAACATGGGGAGCACTGAGCTACATCCCAAGCCCCTTATAAATTCTGAGACAGGGGCTTGCTAAGCTGCCCAGGCTGCTGGTTTCAACACCCCCCCCCCCCCGTACCGGAGATTGAACTCAGGACCATGCACTTGCAAAGCAGGCATGGGGCCACTGAGCTAAATCCTCGGCTTCAAACGTTTGACCCCTGCCTCAGCCTCCTGAATAGCATGGCTTACAGGTGTGAGCCACCATGCCTGGCTCAACAACCACTCTTATGAATTATTTTACTTGTATTGCATTATTTCATTTATTCTTTTCAACAATCCTATGCGTTAGAAACTAAGGGAAGACTAAATAAGAGTCCTGTTTATATTTCATTGTCAATTGTAGTCAAAAGGTTGCCTCGGGCTTGGCTGATATCTGTATAGTTTATTATAGTCACAATGGGTTCTTGGTCTCCAGAAAAAATGGACTTAAATTGCATTTGTTAGCTGGAACCAAGAAAACTAAAAAATAATACCAATACTAGCATAGTTGCACTGTAAGTCCTAAATTAAAAATGGCTTTCATTACAGAACTTATAAAGTTCTATACATTATTAAGATATCTAATGGATATACTGATCTCTTGAATTAATCACCGCAGTCTTTAGTATAACAAAAACATCAAAGTACTAAGGTTATCAATAGTTTTGGATCACTGTCCTCCGGACAGAGGAGACTGTTTCATGGTCTGGAGGGTTCTGAAAATACTTGGTGAGAACTTGGTAACAATTAACTCAATTCATAAGTGTGAAATGCAAGGGAGCAAGGGATATGATTCATCCGAGGGAAGTAAAATAATGAATAGTTTACTTAAGATCATCTTGCAATATGTGGCTTTATCTACCCACTGCATTAAGAAGGCTGCTAATTTAATTATATGTATCAGATATTTTATAATTCTTCAGTGGATGTTTTTTATCAGTAGAGTTATAAATTCATAATAATTTTACACTTTCTTTTATTAAAGCTCAGTGAAACAGTTAAATTTCATGTATCCAGTACCTAACTGCCTGCAAGCCACAATTCTGAGTTTGCTGAACATTTTCTGAATTTATCCTCATTGCTCATTGTTTTTACACTTCCCTTCTCTCCCAACAAATCTCAGTAAAAGAATATTATTTATTCATTCTTTACTTCAGATGTCTGTTGAGTTCTTCCACATAGTTCTTCTGGTCCAGAATTGCAGTAATCTGACCATCCCTGGGGGGGCAGAGGACAGGAAATAAAAGATAAAATAAGTAACACAGGAAATACCAAGGGCCTTCCTTCCACCCAGTCTTTTCATAAATTATAAGAAGAAAATTAGGGCACAGATACACTGAGCCAGAAGACAGACTTGACAAGAAAGCCTCAGAAGTTCAAAGATGGGCCGGGGATTTAGCTCAGTGGTTTCGCCGCCTGCTGCACAAGCACAAGGACCCGAGTTCGATCCCTGGTACTAAAAAAAAAAAAAAAGAAGTTCAAAGATGAAGCAGGGCATCAAGGTGCAGATCTATAATCCCAGCACTCTTGGAAGCTGATGAAGGAGGATTACAAATTCAAGCCCAGACTGGGCAACTCAGTGACTTAGAAAGACCCTGTCTCAAACTAAGAAATATCAAAGGGCTGGGGATGGATAGAGCTCAGTGTGAAGGCCCTGGCTTTGATCTCCAGTACTGGAAGAAAAAAAGAAAAATGAAATCCACGTTGACAAAGTGCTTAAATACAAAGTTATTGTATTCTGAGTATGTTTCTGCTGTTGGTTTCTAGTTTCAATCTAACACAGAGTGAGAGCTCACTTCCCAGGATTTCTATTTCTTTGGATATGATAAACTCTTTATTGTTGCTATAAGCATGGTCTATTTTGAAGTAAAAAAAAATTCTCAGAATAGGAAAATCTATTAAGGACAGAGTGACTCAGTGGTTGCCTAGATCTAGCGGGGGAGACTAAGAGAGGATAGCTCTTAGGGAGAGTGGTTTGTTTTGGGATAACAAATTAAAAAAAAAACATTAACTAAAAATAGAACCACCATTCAATCCAACTATAACACTCCATGGCATACACCAGAAGGAATTAAAATCAGTACACCATAGGGATACCTGTATACCTATCTGGTGCAGCACAATTCACAACAGCCGCTACAGAACCAGCCTAGGTGGCCATCAATAGATGAATGGCTAAAGAAAATGTGGCACAAATACACAATGGAACCTTATTCAGTAGTCATGAAAAATGGAATTACTGTGTACTATCTACAGAAAAATGGATGGAACTGGTGATCATGCTCAGTGAAATAAGTTGTACTCAGAAAGACAAATAGTGCATATTTTTCCTAAAAAAGATGACAGGAAAGTAGAAGGAAGACCATTATTAGACAAATGGAAGGAAATAAGAGGGGGATAAGAGGGGGAGCAAGGGAGGCAATGTTGGATGGAAACAAGTGACTGATTACAGAGTTAAGAGATCATGGTGAGGGCCAGGGATTTAGCTCAGTGGTGCCACCGCCTGCCTTGCAAGTGCAAGGTCCCAAGTTTAATCCCCGGTACCAAAAACAAAAAAAAAAATCAAGAAATTGTCTAGAATGGTATTCATTGTTTTATGCTCTCGGAGTGAGATGAACACCTATTTCTTTAAAAAATTTTTTTCTTTGATTTGTGCTATTATAAAACGCTTTTGGTTTTGTTTTCTTTTCTCTGGTGCTGAAGTTGAACTCAGGACTGTGTGCTTCCCAGGCAGGCATGCTGCCACTGAGCTCCATCCCCGGCCCTTGTAAAATGTTACTAAGTGGAAGAAATTAAGAACTGCCATAAGTGTGTGAGGAGATCGGTATGTTAATTAGCTTGGTTGTAACAATCACTTCACAATGCCTACGTATCTCAAAACATGATGTATACCTTAAATATACATAATTTTATTTGTCAATTATACTCAAAAAGTGAGTTAAAGTTAAAAAAAACAAAAACAAAGTGCTTACAAACTTTAGTAACTTAGATTTTAGGTATAATGTTTTATACTCTATCAGTGCATATAAAGTTTTTTTTTGCAAGCTAATTTTTCAGCTTCACTAGTATTTATAGCAACATTTTCCATTTGTCATAAAAGCTGAATTAAACTCACAATGGTGTAATATCATTGTTCTCAAAAGCCATATATTTGCCTTTAAGTGCCATATATAAATGCTATATATAGTAAAAGTATCGGTACATTTTAGGTATAAAATAGTTACATTCATCATTGGGATCTTATACCATTACATGAGTATCTTGGTTATATAGTAAAAGTAAATGGTATGAAGGTTAAGCATTTAGAACCAATTAAACCGTAGCAGGCACAAGTTAAATAGACTCTTCAGCTGAAGGCCAAAATTAATTCCACATGCCTGTCCAATTACCAAAATAATGAGTGATATACTCTTTTTTTTCTTTTTTTTTGGTACTGGGCATCGAACTCAAGACCTTGTGCTTTCAAGGCAGGTTGCGGAACCACTGAGCTAAATCCCCAGCCCTGAGTGATATACTCTTAAACCAAGGTTAAAACTTTGGACTAATAATTATGGTTTTAACTGGTATGTAAAATGTATATGGTGTACTTCTGTTCTCTAATCACCAAGTACTATAAATAATATTTAAAAATTTTAAACTGTTTGAAATAATTTTAAATTTACAATTAAAGCTGTAAATGTACCAAGTTCCAGAAAACTTTCACTCAGCTCCCTATAATGTCTGCTTTATTTTATTTTGTGACAAGTCTTGCCATGTTGCCCAGGCTGGCCCAAACATGATTCTCCTGCCTCAGCCTCCTGAGTAGCTAGGATTATAGGCATATACCATCATACTGACCCTGATGTTAATTAATATTTTATGTAACCCCATGAGGTATATTTCATACTGCAAATTTTAAGCACATTGAGAAAAAATCCTTTTTTTTAAAAAATGACATTGAATTTTTTTTTTTAATTTTTAATTTTTTTGGTACTGGGGATTGAACTTGGGACTTTGCGGTTGTAAGGTAGGTTGTGGAACCACTGAGCTAAATCTCCAGCCCAAGAACAAATCATTTTTGTGAAAAGCTGTGTTTTCAAATAGTTTGTTTGTTTGTTTATTTATTTATTTATTTGGTATCAGGGATCAAACTCGGGTCCTTGCGCTTGTGGGGCAGGCGGTGGCACCACTGAGCTAAATCCCTGGCCCTCAAATAGTACTTTAAAGAGGTGGAGAAATTGGATTCCTTTTATAAATTTTTATTTTGTTTGCTCCTGAGCTAAAGAACAGAACAATCACTTAACAAAAAACCTTTTCATGGTTTGGCACTAAGAACAATAATCAGATGTTCTCAGCAAGACTTTATTAAGTCTATCTTTAGAAATTCTTTTGATAAGTCTGTTACATCAGTATTGCAGTAAATTTGAAACACTACCAAAAGGGGAAACAATACTAAAGAAAAAGAAAAGAAATCTAATTTTCTTTATACATACCCTTCACTGCCTTTACTGCTGTTCCCATCCTTGAGATACATGGAAAAGTCGATAACTCCAACCTACAGAGAGATTTTCAGAATTTAATACAAAATTAGGTAAGTTTTTGAAGGCACCAAACAATATCTCTCTCTAGGTACTCCAAATGATAATACTATCATGACAAAATCAGAAATTTATGATGAAAATTTAATGTTTTACTTTAAATGCAATCAAGAATTGACATGAACTACAAGAATCAAGATTAAATCAATATGACCTAGAAGACCAGATCATGACTAAGAAAATCAATAGAATGCTTAATATAAATGCAAATAAGGTATAAAGTTTCCCTTTTATTTATTTCAGATATTCTGCTACTGAACTTCTAGTCACTTTTAGGGACTAATTTTTTTTTTTTTGGTACCGGCGATCAAACTCAGGACCTTGTGCTTTAGAGGCAGGCAGCAGAACCACTGAGCTAAATCCCTGGCCCCTTAGGGAATAATTTTTTAAGTTATAATTACAAAAATAATGCCCATCCCTCTGAGTAAGTTTCAGAGAATACAAACAAAGAAAAGTAATATAAAAGACCCATAATCTCACCCCCTTACGATGACCACTGCCAACATTTTGACCTCTCTCCTTTCAAACTTTCACTGATGCATTCATTTAAGACTGCCATTTTATTATTCAGCTAATTTATTTGGTAAAATCCCGACTACATTATATTTCCTTTTCTATTTTCCCAGACTAAAACCTAATAGAAATTCATTGTAGCATTTTATCCAGAAAAGATGAGAAACAGTGGTACTGAAATCAGCATTTTTATTTGTTCAGCAATTGATATGTGCTAGGCTCTGTTCTAAGAGAATTACATGTACTAACTTTTGCATTCTTCACAGTAACTCTATGGAACACATATTTTTTTTATCCCCACATTATATCAAAGACTTCAAAGCACTAACAGACTACCTAACTCCAATATATATTCAGCTAGGAAATGAAGAAGAGAATTAGAACTAAATTCATGCTAATTTGCCATCAGAGCCTTCACTCATAACTACCATATTATACTGGAGCTGTACGTAGGGTTACGTATTTCCTTTTTTTTTTTTTGGTACCAGAGATTGAACTTGGGACCTTGTGCTTGTGAGGCAGGCGGTGGAGCCACTGAGCTAAATCCCCGGCCCTAAGGTTATGTATTTAATAGGTTATCACAGCCAAGACAATAATTTAAAAAAACATTCCAGAAGACAAAAAATCTTTAATATTCACATCAAAACTAAAGGCAATCTGGGCCAGGGATTTGGCTCAGTGGATCCATCACCTGCCTCGCAAGTGCAAGGTCCAAGTTCGATCCCCAGTACCAAAAAAACCCACAAAAAACCAAAAACCTAAAGGCAATCCTATTTATAACTTAATTTCTTCTAACTTGGTTGATACCTTAGAATCCACATAAAAAGGTAACAGAACTCAGTGATATTCTTGGTTAAATGAATATTTTTCCCATACCTGAGAGTCCAGATCTTCTCCTTTCATGCAGAAATTAGCATCAATGACATTCAGCCCCACCAACAGGCCAGCAATTATAGCTCCTTCTTCCTCCATCATAAGAGCGTTTGGTTCATAGAACTCACTGAAAGAGACGTCCACAGATTACTATAATAAAGCCTCAAAACCCATGATACAACCACAAAGCAAGGAGAAAACACTTGCCTCATGGTTGAATATGGTCATCTATGATAAGTGTGAAAAAGTAAAATAACACAAAGGTTTTGATAAATATTTTAGGTAACAAGTGCATGAATAACTCTTTAGACAGTATGTACAGGGTCTGGCTGAAAATAATAGTGTCAGTATGGTATTGTGGTTGAAACAAGTATTCAGACTTTTCTGACATATTTGTATTTGTGGTGTACCATGGGATAATTCTGCAATTTGTTATGCATCTAAGAACTTAGTTGCTTTAAAAAAAATTGCCTTATCCTATTTAGTCTTTTTAAGCACACCATTTCTGTAATGCACTGAGTAAACATCTTAAAATTGTGAACTTTCGGGCCGGGGATTTAGCTCAGTGGTTCCGCCACCTGCCTCCCAAGTGCAAGGACCTGAGTTCGATCCTCGATACCCACCCCCCCCCAAATGTGAATTCTGGGCCAGGGATGTGGCTCAGTGGCGCTGTGCCTGCCTGGCAAGTGCAAGGTCCTGAGTTCAATTTCCAGTACTAGAAAAAAAAGTGAACCTTAAGATGTGTTATATACCAACTCATGATGAATGTAAACATGTACTGATAAAAAAGTGAACTGCTGAATTATATATATTAATTTTGACTAATTGACAAAAACTGCCTAATAACCAGTATGATAATAGGCTGAAGATTTAAAATTTTAGGAGATAACTTTCATTGTTTAATAAAAATCAATTTTTACTACAGAAAAAAAGCAAAGAAAACGTTCAAGAAACCTTACAATTCAACTTACTCATAACTTAAGACAATATACATTTCAGATAATTTATGGAGACATACATATTTTTAAGGAAAAATAAAAAAGGTTACATCATTATAATTAACTTGAAAACTTTTTGATTTAACAGTATCTTTCTGTTTCAATAAACAACTTCCTACAACTTTGCTTATGCTGTTTTTATAACATCCCTGTTGTAGGTATTCTGTATTCATGTAGTCCAAACTTCCTTTTCCTTAGACAATCCTTTCTCAAACAGGCTGTTTGGCACTTTTACCACTAAAGCAAAAGAGATACAATGTACCTAAAAGTGAAAAATTCTAAATGGGTAAAAATTCTCTACAAGACCCTCAGAGGATAAAATACTAGTTAACGATGCAGTGATTCCAATACATAAAACCCCAGCCGGATCAGGGATTTAGCTCAGTGGTGCCACCTCCTGCCTCGAAAGTACAAGGTCCTGAGTTCAATCCCTGGTACAAAATCAAAACAAAACAAAACAACCCAGCGAAGCACTCTTACTACATGACCCATCATGTCCTTTGGTATTTACCCAAGTTACATCCACACAAGATCCTGCACAGGAGTGTTCACAGCAGATTTATTCATAATTGTCTAAACTTGAAAGCAACCAGGATATTCTTTAGTAAGGGAATGGATAAACCAACAATGTGACATGTACAGATAATGAAACATTATTCTGTACTAAAAAAGGAGCTACCAAGCTATGAAAAGGCAAGGAGGAACCTTAAATATGTAGTACTAAGTGAAAGGAGACAGTCTGAAAATGCTACATACTACATGACTTCAACTACTTGACGTTCTGGAAAAGGAAAACCCAGGACAATGGTTAAGAGGATCAGTGTTGCCAAGGCTAGATGAGGGAGGGATAAACAGGGGAAACACAGAATTTTGGAGCTATGAAACTATTCTATGTGATACTATAAGGACATGTGGCCACATGCCATTATAATTTTTAAAAACCATAAAAAGAACAATACCAAGAGTGAACCTTAATACAACTGTTAACTTTGGGAGACAATGATATGTCAGTATAGGCTCATAAATGAAAACAAATGTATCATTCTGGCATGGGACAATAAGAGGGGATGTTGTGCTTACGTCAGGGCAGGGAGTATGCAGGAGATCTCTGTACTTTCTGCTCAATGTTACTATGAACCTAAAATTGGCCATGAGCTCTCTAAAAATGGACTTCAAAATTTCTCCCTGGTGGCTGGGGTATAGCTCTGGCTTAATCCCCAGCACCACAAAACAAAGCAAACAAAAAAATAACCCAGTGACTTGAAATACTCATTTTCAATCACTCTGATGCCATGTTTAAACATCACCGCAATCTACTGGATTTCAACCAAGTCACCTGGGACTAATCAAGGTCAACCTCAATTTCTGGTAACAATCAATATCATTTCTTGATTTTAGTTTCTTCTTCTCTATAAAAGATATTAGCAGGGCCGGGGATTTGCTCAGCGGCACTGCGCCTGCCTTGCAAATGCAAGGTCCTGAGTTTGATCCCCAGTACCAAAAAAAAGATATTAGCAAACAGTAGAACAGTTCAAAACAGCAGAAAAATGATCTAAAAATGTACTGTATCTGTCAGAACTGACACACTTTTTGGTACATATACCTTATGTATTTCTTTCACATAACTAGAAGTAAAACTGCCGGGCAAAGCAAATAAAACTATTGTATATGAAGACTATTCTGTCCAGTTCACAATACTGACAGAGTTAATGCTTCAGAATCCAACCTAGAACCATACAATTCCGATCAAAGACACACCCTTGCAGCTATCTAGTGCTTGAAAACTAGACCATATGTCACTTCAGGGCTTGGCCCAGGAAAGCTGAGCCGTCATATTGTAGAAATATGTAAGCTCCACAAAATGGTCTTATTTCTCTTTTTCCTGATTTGTCTAATCTTCTTTGGAATAAAATAATGATAAATGGTATATGTAGATGCAGAAAAATCAAAACAATGCTCTATTATGATCTGCAGTGCAGTTTTTGTAAAGACTGGGTTCTTGGAAAATCCAGGCATTTCTTTCAATTCTGTTACTTCTTCTCTGTAGTATTTCTCAGAAGCAATCTAGTACATTTGAATTTCTTTTGGAAAAATTTAAATGGTTTACTACACTACAGCCTCAGCCCCACATGCATTTTCAGAGAGCACACACTTGTACAACCAGCATCCAGACTGAGAGACAGTGTATCACCAGAAACTTAAAGGCCACTGGCCAGTGGCCTCTTCCTGTCTATTATAAAAAATTGGTTTTGTGTATGTTCTGATCTTTACATAAATGAAACAATACACAATGTATTTTTGTGTATTATTTCCTTGCCCAAAATTATACTCATGAGATTAATCCATGTTGTTTTGTGTGATAACAGAGCATACCAAGGAATGAAGAAAGCTAAAAAAGATGTTCATACCTGAGAAGTTCCTTTTTATTGATCAGAGCTTTCATATATTCTGAAAGTTTCTTTTGCATTAATGCCAAACGAAGCCAGGCTCTTCCTCTGCCTACTGGTGTCCTAGAAAACACAGCAACCCAAAGCACAAATTATAACAGCATGATTAACAGTGGCAGGGGCCACAGTGCAGCAGAGAAATGAGCACAGGGAAGTGCTCCTCATCGCCTCTCCCACTACATCCCCACACAAGGAGTTTTGTGGGACAGCGAGACTTGGGGGTACATTTGGGACAGATGCTTTTGCAAAAATTCTACTGCATGTGACCACAATCTGAAGATAAGACCTCTGGAGACCTGCCTGGAGACAGTCCTTCAGATTTGTATTGAAAACTCCTCCTAAATTTAGTGTGGATTATGTTACTAGCCTAATGCTACTGCAGATGCAGTTTAATCCTTTATCTGCTGAAAATTAAGCCAATCTCATTTGGAATGTTGATCAGTAAACCCAAGTTGTAAGGGAAGTTGTAGGTGGCAGTCCCTAAGGTCCAGTAGACACCTGCTCTAATGCTGGTATCTCAGACTCCACTGAACACTCTTTCCTTCTTTTTTTGAGACAGGATCTTGCTATGTCCAGCTGGTCTTGAACTCATTATGTATCTATGGCTGCCCTCGAACTTGTGATCCTCTTGCCTCAGGCTCCCGAGCACTGGGAATTATACATATGCACCAACCAGCCCTGCTGAATACATGCTTGTCTTGTTTTTCACTAAGTTAGGTCAAGCCACCTCCCCAGACTGAATTTCTTGAGGCTGATTCTCACAAGTGCTTTAAAATAAAAAGAAGTAAGAATATGCTTGGTATTTTAACACAAAGACTACTCTCTTGGAAAAATAATTATTTTTCAAGGGCACATGTTTCTTATAATTCGAGATACCACTTCTTTCATAGTTATTTACTCATAACAACAGTATGCCTTTTGGATTGCTATAAAATAATTATGGGCATTGTCGTCTTTACTGCATTCTTCAAGGAGACAGTAAGAATGCTCCTGTGGAGACGCAGGTTCATCCTTAGACTTACTTCAGTCCTGGAAGGTCTTTAACACTTGCTGTTATCTCTGCAGCTTCTGGAACAAGTTTCTCTACCAGTTCTAGAGGTCCCCAGAAGGATTTATTTTGTCCAAGAAAAGTTTTCTTGGCTAAGGCAACAACAAAGCACCCTTTTAGTATTTTTATAATATAAAGACTCATACTACACACGCGCGCGCACACACACACACACACACACACACACCCTTTCATACTTCTATCTTTTCAGGGACCCAATCCTAGATCATTAGGCAACTTAAAAATTATTCTTGCTTTCAGAATAAATAAAATTTTGTGAAAATAAAAACGTCTCTATTTGCCAAGATTTAGTCCATCATTTTCAGGAAGAAATTGTGGCCCAAGGCTCTAATAAAACATTTTAGCAATTTAGTACTTAAAACTTCATAGCATTAGTAAAGAAAATAGTCCAATGCCAAAAAACAATGATTTGCAGTCTGAATACTGAGAAAGGAGGAAGAAAGGAAGCAAATGCAAATAAGACTGGGTCCTGCCTTAAAAGCTTATGGTTCTGGGCTGGGGATTTAGGTCAGTGGTTTCACCGCCTGCTGCACAAGTGCAAGGACCCGAGTTCGATCCCTGTTACCAAAAAAAAAAAAGCTTATGGTTCTGAACCCTGAAGCAAGAGTCAGGAGACACGAGTTCTAGCACCTGCTCTGTCCAACACGCTGTGCAACCTTGTGGAAGTCACATCCCATGGTGGGAGGCCTAGTTCCCCCTGTCAACTGGACACACTTGCAGTACTGGACTTAAGCACATATGATGGCCCTTCCCACTTAATGCTTAATGATCTGCATTTTTGAAGCCCTGTTAGTCTTTTAAGTCATCACAGCCCTACTCTCACACAGAGCCTACATTCCAGCATATTACATTACTGATTCTATAAAGAATGCTTTCTTTGCAAGTGTGCATTACTAGGAGCTAGCTGCATGCACAACACAGCCCACCTCTCAAGCCGTGCTTCAGACAGTGTTCCATCACCACGAAGAACTGCTGCAGGGGTGCGTAATCAGAGTCCAGAGTCCTGCCCAGGTTCAGAGCTGATTCAATCAAGCCCTTGATACTCAGCTTGGCCATGTTCATCAGGTTCATGCGCTCGTTAGCCATGAGATAATTAGGGTCTGCAACCGAAGGCAGAGAGAAGTCTGGTTACCGGACAGTACATTGTGAAATTCGAATAATTCCCCATGTTGACATGGTGAGAGTGCTGGTGACTTGTGATGAGCCCAGGAAATGACACTCTACTACACTATCAGTTGTTACATTCTTCTCAGCCATGCCCTTGTTATGAAAAAAAATGACAGTTCCCTTAAAAATATCTTTGATTAAGCTGTAAAAATTCGTTGTTGAATAAACTCCTAAGTCCTCATACAGTCACTTAATATTTTCACCACTGCCCTGTCCGCACCCAGCATCACTCGCTCCTGAGCCTCACACTGCTTTTTGCTTCCATTCTCTACAGCCACAAATACAGTGCTCTCAACATGTGTGCTCTAAAGATAAAGCCAACATAGGAGAAAGTGCTTAAACACACTGCTCCAGGTACACTGTTAGTATCTTTTGTATCTATACCAACAATTGTCATTCATAAACTAAGCATGAGCATTCTCAGTATACTGCAGTATGAGAACTCAACTTCCAAATACGTTAAGATTCAGCACACAGCACCAAAGAGACAAGACTTTTTGACAGTAGGGACAAAATATCACATTTTATCTGACAGAATTCAGAATAGTTGAAGCACTTTCCACCTTCATTTATTGGTACTTCTCCTATGCAAGGCACTGTAGGCTGCTCCTTACAATTTATGATCTTTTTTATTTGTTTTGACACAGGGACTCACAATGTTGCCCATGCCAGCCTTGAACTCGCAACCCTCCTCCTGCCTCAGCCTCCTCTGCAGCTGGGGTCACAGTTGTGCCACAACCCCTGGCTCCCAGTTATGATCTTAACTGCTCCTTGTAGCAAGTAATGAGACAGTTGCCAACAGAATGATTTTACAGGGAAGGAAAGTAAGATTTAGAAAGTAAAGCTTTAATTGCTCTGCCCCATTCACATGACCTTGAGCACGTGACATCAGACTTCATGTCTATCAAATAGCTGGGACTGGTCAAGAGCACGGCCAATGTCAATGATACGCAGAGTCGAGGGCCCACTGTCTAACTCTAGCTTCTGTGCTCTCTTCCCTCCTCCTGATCCTTCATGATTATCTTCTTTCCTTATTTATTACTTTTCTTTAAGCACCCTCCTTCTTTTCAGGTCTAAAGCAGGGATGTAACAGTTAAATGGTCCAAGCTCAAGCTGTTCATTAGGAAATATCAAGATTTGGATTTGACATGAAAGCTAAGGTTTTTTCCATTATGCACGTGTATTCTCCCAAATACCAAATCTATGAAATAATAACTATGTTTCCATAATACAAATGAGCCACTTAGTACAAAAGAGACTATGTAAAAATTTTTTAAACTTTATTAATACATTTTAGATATACATAATGGTAACATTTAATAAGGAATTTGTACCTGTACATGATATATCTTGACTTTTTTCCCTGATTCTCTCCTCTCCCTTTAACCCCTCTTCCCATCCTTATTTACAACATTTTAGATATACATAATGGTAACATTTAATAAGGAATTTGTACCTGTACATGATATATCTTGCTTCTTTTTTCCCCACTCTCCTCCTCTCCTTTCAACCCTTCTTCTCTTGTTTACAAAAGCTTTGTTTCTATTTTTTCCTTATACCTTCTTTCCTTTGCCCCTCACCCCTCCCTTGCTCCCCTTCTCATTTGAACATTTTCTTCTTATTTCCCAATATCTTTAATCATTTTGGTCCTTATACTTTCAGTTTCTCACACCAGAGAAACAATGCTATATTTAATAGTGTATCTTAAGCTTACCCTTCTTCATGGCAGAGCAGTACTCCATTTTAAAAAAAGCCCACATACTGCTGTGGTATGATGCTTTTAATTCTTTCAAGAAGATACCAAGAAAGGGAATAGCTGGGTCGAATGGAACATCTAGTTTTAGTTTTTTGAGGAATCTCCACACTGATTTCCACAGTAGTTGCACCAGTTTACACTCCCATCAACAGTGGAGAAGGGTTCCTTTTTCTCTACAACTCCACCAGTGTTTGTTACTGGTTGATTTCCTGATAGCAGCCATTCTTTCTGGAGATGGAATCTCAGCGTTGTTTTCATTTACATCTCTCAAATGACCAGTGATGTTGAACATTTTTTCATATGTTTATTTGTTGTTTCTATTCCTACATCTGAGAAGTGTCTGTTCATTTCAGATGCCTATTTTTGGATTGGGTCTTTAAATTTGGGGGGTCTGATTTTTTGAGTTCTTTATATATTCTAGACATTAGGGCTTTGTCTGAGGAACAGCTGGGAAAATTTTTTTTCACACTGTGGGTTGTCTCTTCACTCTGTTGGTGGCTTCCTTTGCTGTGCAAAAAGGTTTTAGTAAGATGAGATCCCAGTTGCTGATTCTTTGTGATATTTCTGTGAGGTTGGAGTTTTGTTCATAAAGTCTTTGCCTACACTTATGTTTTCAAGAGTTTTACCCTCTGATGTGAGAAACTGAAAGTGTAAATAAGGATCAAAATGTGTAATTGATAATATGAAATGGGAAGAAAAGGTCTAAAGGGGAAGGGAAGGTGGGAGGGGTAGGGGAAAGGAAACAAGGGAAAGGAAAAAATATGAGAAAAGGAAAAAAAAAGGAAACAAAGTCTTTGTAAATAGGGAGGGGTGGAGGGGTTGAAGGGAGGGCAGGGGAATGGGGAAAAAAATAAGAACCAAGAGACATCACGTAAAGGTACAAATTCCCAATGATTGAATGTCACCCTATTGTGTATCTAAAATGTACCAATAAACTTAATGAAAAAAAGTTTTATCTATTCTATCTTCCAGCAGATTTAGTGTTTCTGTTTTAATATTAAACATTAAAGTTTAAGGAGTTAAAGATTTACAGTTCCAATTGCATAAATCTTGGCTTGTTATAGTGTTCTCTTACATAATACATTTTAGAGAAATAGTTTATATGAAAGTCAATATTGTTCTATATTATCCTTAATTATTTGTTAAATAACAATAAATATTTTAGGCCAGTGATGGTGTACCTTTTAGAGACTGAATGACAAACTACAACCCGAAACCCACGTATTTATCACTCAGTGCCAACACTGCAATTAAACAGGAATACTGAGGTTTTAGTTTAGAAAAAAACCCCACTACATTGACATCTTTTGTCATTTGGGGGGGTGCTGGGAATTGAATTCAGGACCTTGTGCTTGTCAGGCAGGCATGGTGTCATTGAGGTAAATCCCTGACCCAACATTTTTTGTCATAAAAGAAAAACATAATAACATGCATGCCATAGGTTTGCCACCTCTGTTTTAGGCCATGTTTTAAATGCAGCTCTCTTTGTTCATAGTAGATCAACTTGTCACAGGTAGAATAAGGCGCCAGGAGTGTAGCTCAGTGGTAAAGTGCTTGCTTAGCATGCACAAGGCCTGGGTTTGATCCAATAAGCTCACAAGAGAACGATGAAATACTATCCCCTATGAGACAATCATAAAGAACATTATATACCCATGCCCCATCTAGGTCCTGAGTCGCACAGAACACACCGAATCAGCCCGCTGCAGACAGGCAGGTCTGTGCATGCCCTACCGACGTCCTGAGTCGCGCGGAAGACACCGAATCACCCCGCTGCAGACAGGCAGCCACCTGATTCCACACTACAAAGATGCAGAGGTCACCAGTCCGCCAGACCAAGGTACTGAGTCCCACTGTTCCCGGCCCAGAGGTAGGGGCTTCTGAGCCGTTGTCCCACTGCTCCTGGTCCAGAAGAAGGGCTTCCTGGTCACCATCCCTCCCACTGCTCCCAGCCCAGAGGAAAGGGCTTTTGG